CACTTTTCAACCAAGAGTCTTTGGGTTACATTTAATATATATCCTTGAAACGTTTTTTGGAATCATGATCGGCTCTATTACCTTGTATCAGTTCACCACAAAAAAAAAAAGTCTTTTGAGCAATCTGTCATCCTTTATACGCGTCAGATGACCTGTCCAGCGCATTTGATTAACGAGAAGTAATTTCTCTATGTCGGTTATGTTTGCAATCTGGAAAACTTTTGTGTCTGGTGTACAAGGCTGCCAATTTGTGTCCAAGATTCGTCTCAGGTACTACTAAGATCTTAGTGTGCTTTCGATTGGTGGCCCACGCTTCAGAGGAATATAAAAGGACAATTGTCTCGGAGATGCTTAAGATGTTACAATCAGACCATAACCAAGTTTTCTGAATGACTGAATTACTCGTTTAATGCGATAATTTACCTTTGCATCCAATTAATCATCCCTAGCACTAAGTATACAAAAGTATCAATTACCTCCAGCCTGAACTCGTTAACGAAAATGTCAGGCTCTATGTAAGGCAGCCCAGATGGAGGCGTGTCTTTTGTCTTTTTTCAGACTGATGGTTAGCCCCAAAGCAGTACAACCCCCCACCCCGAGAAATGGCCCATTATCACCTGCATGTCATCTTAACTGTGATCAACAAGGTCAGCATCATCAGTATACAGTAGTTAACTTTAATGGTACTCTATCAGAGCCATTTTCAATTGATAATGGTGTAAAGCAAAGGTGATATTCCAGCTTCTACGCTATTTAGCATCTATTTTGCTGTAACTTTTCTGGGGACTTTTCAAAACTGCAATGTTGGCGTTTCTCTTCGTCTCAGACTAAATGGGAAGGTTTTTGATCTGAGACGATTCAACGCTCGATCTAAAGTTTTCCAACTGGCTATTATATATATATATACATACATATTTCCTCCTACTTGAAAGTTATTTTGTGAATACCCATGATTGTTTTTTTTTTAAGTTTGAATTACGTCTACCGAAACATATTCCTAAAAAGAATGTGTTCCCCGGCAGGATTCGAACCTGCGCCCACTTCTGTGGGAGAAACCATCGTATGCGTACATATATAGTAGAAAATAAAATTAAGTGTAAACTTATCTGTTTTCCACAGAGTTTCACGGAGATTGCATCCTCTAGTCGTGGCGGGGATACTAAAATTAAATTTATTTACAAAAATCATATTACTTTCCCAAAATTAAAAAGAGTAGAAAATTATTCTGTTTGAGTTTCTGGTTCCATTCTAAAGTCGACTCCAACTCGATACTTCTAACATCTCCACCTAAACAATCAAATTTTACTTATTACTTATTCATTTATTTTTATTTTTCTACTTAATAGGAACGGAGAATTTTACCAATCGTCCATAATTATTATTCCAGTTCGTTTTTACTTTTTAATTCTGCTGATAATTTCGAAACGCAATATTTATTTTTAAATTTTCTTTTTTCTTGAATTTATTTCCATATCCATATTAAATAAAAACGTAACTTTAAAAAAAATGAATTTGTAAACAACAAAGAAGGCGAATATTAAATACACTTATTTGAAAGAAAGTTTAATATTCATTTATTCAAATATTCGAAACAAAGTTTTAAAAACGCAACAGAATAAATTCCCGTAGACATTTTTGGAGAGAATTTACTATAGCTTTAATAATACAGTCAGATAGTCCACGAACATATAAGTCATTAAGATATTAAATTTTAAAAATGAATTCAAAAACAAACAAATTATTATAAATCTACACAATCGCTTTAATCATGCTAGGGTTCATAAAAATTTTACTAAACTATTTCATTTAATTTTCTAAAAATTATTTATGCTTTCAAAAATAATGTTTGTTGAGTTATTTTTTATCCTTAATAAAAATTTTACTAAATTTAAATTTTCCAAAAATATTTATGCTTTCAAAAATATTTATATTTTTATATTATATTACATTTTTATATTACATTTTTATATTATATTTTTATATTATATTATATTTATATTATATTATATTTTTATATTATTTTTATATTACATTTTTTTCTATTGTAGACAGGACATGAAAGACGGTTTACAACTTTATATATAGAAAGATTTATTTTTTCATGAAATCGATCTTTGTCTTTACTTTTTTACTTTACTGACAAAAACAGTTTAAGCGTAAAATACATTCTTTAAAAAGTAATGTGAAACCAAATAAAGTATTTAAATGAAATAATTATTTTCCGATTTAAAGAAAAATAATTACGAGTGTTAATTTGATAAAATACATAGACAATATATTTACTTTAATAAATAGTGGAATGTCCATCCCATAATTATTTTCTAAAATTTTGTAAATAATTCCCTCCAATCATCTAGCACAACACTTCACAATCTCATTCGGAAAAAAAAGGAAAACTCCAGTGATATTGTTAAGAAAACTAGAACACTGAGTCTTTGCAATGACATCTGATTCATTATCAAGATAATGAATCAACATGTTATTGAATAATTTTGACATAGCAATGAAGCTTAAGAAGCGACGCCGGGTATCCCCACTAGTATGTATATATATATATATATATATATATATATATATGTACGTATAAATTATTTTTAAGTTTTTCCAGTATCCTAAGATTGTTTTGTTTCGTAGGAGTAAAGGAATATAAAAATTGTTCGTAATTTTTATAGTTCCAAGCGCTTTCAGCTACTTCTATATCCTCTTTTCTTGTGTTCGGATAATTTTCTTCTATTCTGGACATAAATTATGTAGAAATTATCCGAATGTTCTGTATGTCCAGAGGTATACTTTTAGCTATTATCAAGGATGATTTTTAATGAAACTTGTATAAAAGAGGAATTGCTGGCCAAATACACAATATATATATATATATATATATATATATATATATATATATATATATATAATAAAAGTATAGCTTTATGGTCTGCTATATTTATGGGTTAAAGTGCTCAATATCAAGGACAGAGCGTATGTAAATATAAAGGCGTCTGTCTTTTTCATGCTTAAACGCAAACTCAGGCCTGAACATTACGAACTGATGGTCTGAATATTACATTTAAGCATGAAACAGACTGTCGCCGCTGTGTGTTGACCTCTATGTCCAGTTATATATATATATATATATATATATATATATATATATATATATATATATATATATATATAAGACTGACTTCCATGATTTTCTTGAGTTATTTTAATTACAATATAAATAATAATTAATATTGTGTGTGTGTGTGTGTGCAATGTGAGAGAAGTGAAAGGAAGCTTACATAGAAAGAGTGAGACAGAGAATCGAGTGGGTCAGAGAGAGACTACTAGAATATTAATAAGAGAGAGAAGAGTGAATACAAACTAATTCATATATTTTCTTTGTTCCTATAACCAAATATTTTTGCATTTATTTAATTCCTTAGCGTCCCATCGTTCTTGGATTAACTTCCGTTTTCACCATAACGCCCCTTCCTCCTTATAGCGTACCTTCGTCTTGACCTTATTTTTGTTTTTTTTCGAAGTTCTTCATGCATTTCCCTTAGGTACCTAAATTCCTCTTCTCAATTTAAATCCAGCCTTCGATCGCTGTGTGTACAGGGTAATAAGAGAAAGTGATGTTATGTTGGATTTTTACTTTTTCTTCCAGGGTTGGTGTTTATGAACGACCCCAGCCTGGCATATTCCCGGAGTTACTGGAAAACAAGGGAAAGATCTACAAAATACAACGGGATTATCGCCAGCCGCAATGTTTGGTAAAATGTTTGGATTTTTAAAGAATTCCAAGAACCATTTCTGTTACACTAAATAACGCAGGGTATATCACTGAACAATTTGATCTGCTGTCCCGATACAATAACGAATATTAAGAGAAAAGAAGCAAAAAAAAAAAATTACTTAACTTTCTTTAAGAAAAAGAAAAAGTAAAGAAAAAAAAGAAACACTGGGAGATAACTTTAAAAACCGACTGTTTCTTTAAGATTTCAGATTATAAAAATATTGTTTAAGATCCGCAGAAAGGATATCAATATGGGATATTATGATTAAGAAAACATTCCACGATTATATCAGAAAAAAAAACCCGTTATAACCAGAAACACATATACTCAGCTACATCAGTGGATTTTACCCGTTTCTGGTCCTGCCGAAGGTGAGAGGTGATAGTTGAAATACTACAACGAACCAGTAGATATTGTAAGGGATTTTATTTTCCTTTGTTTTCATTGAGCCAAAAGCTCAATTTTTAGGTTTTTAGCTATTTTTTTAAAAGACACAACAGAACATGACGTGAACTGTGATTTTTTCTTATATCGACGCATCTCATGCAACATAAGAGTTGTTAAAAAATAGAAAACAGAAAGGAAGAGGTAAAGAAAGAAGAATATAAAAGTTTAAAAGAGACGATGTGAATGAAGTGAAGTTAAAAGACAAGGGGAGTGAAGAGAAGAGAAAAGAAGTGAAGAGAAGAGAAAAAGAAGTGTAGTGAAAAGAAACGAAGAAGAAAGGAAAAGAAGAAAGAGAGAGAGAGAACAGAATAGAAGTGAAGAGTGATTAAGAAGTGAATAAAAAAGAAATGAAGTAAAGAGAAGAGAAGAGAAAAGAAGTGAAGAGAAGTGAAGAGAAGAGAAAATAAGAGAACGGAAGTGAAGAGAAAAGAAGAGAAAAAAGTGAAGCGGTTTGGTTAATTGCGAAAATAATCTAGAAGGAAAACATAAAAGCTTCGAAAGAAAAAGAAAATCGTAATAAAAATGGAATTATTAGCGAAGATCTTCTTTTTGGGTGGAATGTCTTTCATTCTGCCAAGTTTAGCAGAAAGAAGTGAGGAAGAGCGATTCTGTCCAAGCAACGTATTACGAAAATTCAAAACAGAATGTATGCCATGCAATACAGCTGAGAGGGATATCTGTCGTTCGGACTCACAAATAACAACCGGTTCTTTAGAAGAGTGTAACAGCTATGGTATCAAATTGTGCCGCTGGTCTTGCGAGAAAAACGTGAAGACTATGACATGTTGTCCAGGATATTGGGGACCCAGCTGCATTG